TATTTATTGGTGTTTGGTTTTTCTTCTTCTTTGTGTGTAAGCGTGTGCATGCGAATGTGCCGATGTGTAGAATATCGTGGTTATGCCTTCAGTTCATGATTTTCTTGATTCCTTATAATCTTTCACCGTCGCTACCGTTTCCTTTTTATCATATCATAATGTAAAAGAGCTATATCGATCTATCTATCTATCTATCTATCTATATATATATATATATATATATATATATATATATATATATATATTATGAAATGGACTAAGTCCGACAATTATTTTAATCTATTTTTTATACATTATTTTATAGATACAAATGCTTAAGTAAATACTTTGTTTATAATAAATAGTATCAACAACATTTACCGGACTGAATGCCCGAGAAATTTCCTAGAAAATATGTGTCCTCAGACAGGAATCGAACCTATATCCTATACGGAACCGTCATATAGCCTGACGTGCTATACCATTTAGGCACAAAGGAAGCGTCTGTTTCGCAAGTATATGTATCATGTTATATGACGTTTCCGTTTACGTTTCTATGAAATTTCTCGGACGTTCAGACCGGTAAATGTTGTTAACATTGTTTATTATAAACAGAGCATTTACTTAAATATTTGTATCTATAAAAAGAACGTATAACAATAAAATATATTAAAATAATTGTCGAACTTTGTCCATTTGTAATATATATATATATATATATATATATATATATATATATATATATATATATATAATGACAAACAAACACTTAAGAAACCATAGGTGATATTTTATTTCACTGAATGTCCTATAAATACTCTTCCTCTGTAGCTAAATGGTATAGCACGTCAGGCTATAGGAACGTTCCGTGTAGGATGCAGGTTCGATCCCTGTCACATATTTTCTTTGATATTTCTCGGCCATTCAGGCCGGTTAATATTGTTTATTATAAACTGAGCATTTACTGAAATATCTGTATCTATAAAAGTAACGTATAAACCATTAAGATATTTATCATCTATAGATATGTACTAGTCTGTCAAAGAGAAGCATATTTTAAATAATGTTTTTTGTTTAAATTCTAATCTATCTCTTTTTGTTTTATTTTCAATCAACCAATGCCAGAAAGAATGTATTTTCATTTAATCTTATGTGTTATTGAAAATTCTGTTCACCTGTTTTTGCCGACATTTTAATTAAGATCGCCCTAGACCTGACTTCCTTTTGCTGCCTACCAGCTTTAGGTAACCCTAAATAAATTAAACGAAGATTAACTTTCCGCATCTGTCCTATTGTACATTGTATACTTTAGTTTCTTTTGTCACACTATAAAGCGTTTCCGTGTAGGATACAGCTTCGATTTCAGTCGAACGACACATTTTTTCCTGTGAAATTTCTCGGACATTCAGACCGGTAAATATTGTTAATACCGTTTCTTATAAACAGAGCAATCGCTTGTATAATTAAAAAACGATAGAAAAACTGTACTATTAGCCAACGCGTTTCGTGCAATGAGGATATTTTCAAGGCAAAAACGAAATGAATTTACAATATAGAACTCACAAAAAACAACTTAACTAATGTACTAGTCATAGAGAGAAATAAAATCAACCACAATTTTGATTTCTAAAAATGTTACACTCATAAAAAAAAAGAAAATAACTCACTCAGAAGGAAAATCCTCGAGAGAACCGACATTGAATATTATCCTAATATTAATTTACGCCAAGGTTTTTTTTTCAAATACCACCTTCCCTGACAGAATTACTACTCTTCCAAGCAAATGTACACAACTGTAACAAGAAATCAAAATGGTTGAATCAGACAACACAACAATAAAAACAATATTTCTACACGTGACAGTACATGACGTAATATTCAGTTGACAATATGAATATAATAGCGTTCTCTAAATTCTTGTAGTTGCTAAGGACATTTTGTTTTGTTAATAGTTACTTTGTTTTTAATAAATTCATCTCCTTTTTGCCTTGAAAATGTCCACATTAGACGAAACGCGTCGGCTAATAATACAATTTTCCTATTGTCGTTTACCTTTATGTAAATGTGTGTGTGTGTGTTTGTGTGTGTGTATGTGTGTGTGTGTCTGTGTTCCTTTAGTTATGGACGGGTGTGTGCGGGTGTGTGGACAGTCGTTCTCACAAAAGAAATGTATGAAAAAATGATACGTGAGGTAAAGTACCCTGTCATAGTTCAAGCCTTTCACGTTGGCCCACAGCAGTTGATGAATCTTGAACTTTGACCCAATAGTTAGCAATTTTATTACAGATTTTTTACAGTGAACTAAAGAATATAAAACAGACACTTATTAATAATAACTTTACAAACTATATAGTTGATGAACAAATAAGATGCTTTCTTAGAAATCTCAATAATAAGCAAATTGTACATAATACTGCTTCTACTGATCTCAAATATATTAATCTCCTATATCGTAATCAAAGGCATACTAATTATAAACAAGATGAAAATATACTAAAAAATTTAGTAAATTCTAATATAGCAACAACAGATCCTAGCAAAAAAATTAAATTGATCATATACTACACTAAATCTAGTATATCCAACTTAATTCTTCGCAATGATTCTTCTCCCCTGGTTAGCGATTTGCAAAAAAACAACATAGTTTATAAATTCAAGTGCCCTTTGGGAGACTGTATCTCCAACGAATTAAATAATATTTATGTTGGTCACACCACAGACTCGCTTTCACGACGCTTGACATTACATTTTAATGAAAACTCTAACATTTTTAGGCATTTAAAACAACATGCCTGCCCGCACACACAATTCCGTAAAATACTTGTCGAAAACACAACTATACTTCGACATGAAAACAATAGACAAAAACTAAAAAACCTTGAAGCATTATACATCAAACAGTTGAAACCCAACCTAAACAAAATCAATTGTGGCATCTCTACAAATATTCTTAAATGTCTATAATTGGTAACAGAAGCCATTGGTTTATACCAACGGCTTTCCATACTTCATACTTCTCCAATTCACTCTTGTGTGGTCATGTGTGACGTCATGAGATGCGGTGCGATTTTCGCTTCTAGCGTCTTGTATGCGCGTGTTTATCGTTGCTTGGAGGTCATCTATGTAGACATTGACAGACTGTCGTCGCTGTCTTGTCCGTATATTGTTTAACATGTTGTAATTGACATCTTTGATAATGGCTTATGTAAGCCGAAAGCTTAGATTATATTAAAAAAATATGGATCAATATTGTGAATTTCTTTCTTCGTTCAACGATAATGTTATTAAACTTCTCAGATGTTACGAAAAAAGTTTGCATAAAATAAATAGACAGCACTTGTTTATGTTGTTTAATGAAACGTGTATAAATGAAAATATGCTGCCTAAATACACACACAATATATATATATATATATATATATATATATATATATATATATATATATATATATATATGTATAGCATAATGAGAACCACGTATACTTTCTTTAATATGTATATATATAGAAAAAGTTGCAAATTAAAAAAGAATAATAATGTTCATTTATGAAAGTATTTATTTATTTGTATATTTATTTGATATTTCAGATTGGCCTCAATCTTTCTTCAGAAATAACTGTTTGTTTACAAGTAGCGTCCGTCGCGAGATGCGGACGTCATGTGATATGGAACGAATATTCCTAACGTAAATCTAAATGTAATAATATCTTAGATGTTGTTTAAAAAATAAAAAAAATAAAATAAGAAATAAAAAAAAATTAACTATATCTGAAAAATGTTTAACTATTTAAATCTTTATAAATATTTCAATAGTTAAACATTTTTTAGATATAGTTAAAAAAAAATATTTCTTATTTTATTTTTTTTATTTTTTAAACAACATCTACGAACATTATTATTTTTTTAATTGGCAACTTTTTCTATATATATATATATATTGATTCCGTGAAGATTTTAAAATATTTTCATAATAAAAATCTTAGGCGGATTTATGAAGCAGGCATAATATCCATCTCACGCACGGTGAACACTAGACCTGGCTTCTTTAATATTTCCCCTTTTCTAGCAAGATTAATGCTCGACAAGCGTACATATAAGTTTTAGATCAAAATAGAATTCTTTTCATTTTTCATTCAAAATACTCAAATTTTAGGAATACATTTTCACAGCGTCGCCCACGTGACGACGACGTGACCATGTTTTAAATGGAGAGATGATCTTATAAAACTTTCAGTTATTTGTTTGGATAAGTCTTGTTCTTATGTACATCGTCTTTGTCATGTTGAATTGATAATGTTAATTATATTTTATGAATATGTCCTGAAGATGCTTTATTAGACCGAAACGTCCGACGTTGACATTATATTAACAATTAAAACAGCATAATTGCATATAATGATTTTGTTTGTTTTCCATATATTTTTTCTTCATATATATATATATATATATATATACTTATTTATAATTTTTTTATAAATAATAATATATATATATATATATATATATATATATATATATATATATACACACACAAATAATTTCGAAAGAACAGATGAAGTAAAATTCCGCATTTCGTAACATTTACTTATATATATATATATATATATATATATGTGAAAATATATAGAAAATAGGAAGGAACTGGTTAGGTAAATAGTCCAAAGTTCCTTAGTATTTTTGTTATTATTTTTAAAAAATAGTGCTCGATACAAAAGTAGAGCATAAATATAATTATTTATTTAAATCATATTTTTAAATAATCATATTTTTAAATAAATAATTATATATATATATATATATATATATATATATATATATGTGTGTGTGTGTGTGTGTGTGTGTTTGTGTATATATATATATATATTCATCATTGTCAAGGTATTTCTCTGTTTCGACATTTTTCTCTTTGTTTTTTTTATTTCTTTTGATCCTTTTCCTTGTTTTAGTTTGCCCACCAGATATATTAGGGATTTCTTTCTTTCTGTCTTTCATGCATTCACCCTCCTTTCTTTTTTTCTTTC